AGCAGGAGGAGGGGCTGGGACGACGGGGGCGGCGTCATGGGCGGCGGGGGCGCATGGCGATGGCGGGGCGGGGCGGTGGTGGTGGTTGCGCTGTCGATGGGTGAGCGGAGGGATTTTGTATGGAGGGGGTGCGATCGCGGTGACGCGACACGGCGATGGCGCCGTCCGGACGTTTCCGTGCACGCCCCTAGGCTAGGCTCCTAGCCAGGGTGGCCCTCCGGTCCGGTCTCCCCCGTCCTCTCACCTCACCACTTGGAGGGCTGGAAAGGTTGCTACAGGGCTCCAGCAGGGAACCAATCGCGACAAGAGGATGGATTTGTCAAAAGTCCACTAGGCAGGCGGGCAGGCGGGCTCGTGTCGATCGACGCGAGCGTGTGCTCTAATCCTATCCTATCCTCACGTGTCTAATAGAGACGGGAAACGGGCCTACGGAAATGGCAATGCACTCCCTCCCTCCCTTTGTACCAACCAAGATAATCGAAGTTTCAGTTTCATCCCAAGTCAAACTAGCTTAAATCTGTCTAACTACAGAGAAAAAACCTGCTACCTTCGAGAAGGGGAACGACGCCGTGACGCCGCCGCCATCCGATTCGGAGAGCCGGACCTGCGTTTTTCCTCGATCCTTGAAGAGGGGCGCGGATAAAGGCCGTGGCAACGCCTCCAAGAAGGGAAACGGCACCGACATGTGTCGCCGCTGCCGGCATCAGCAAGCCGGGCATGGATTTCGTATGGCCCGGATCCGAGCAGTCACATAGCCGCCAGATCAGGATTCGAAGATGAGGAAGTCCTGGACTAAGGGGTCCTCGGATCCATAGATCCCATAGGGCGACCGCCACCTCGGAAGGGAGGAGGTGGGTGAGGGAGTCCTGGACTAAGGGGTCCTCGGACAGCCGGACTATATACTTTGGCCGGACTGTTGGACTATGAAGATACAAGATAGAAGACTTCGCCCCATGTCCGGATGGGACTCTTCTTTGCGTGGAAGGCAAGCTTGGCGATTCGGATATGTAGATTCCTTTCTCTGTAACCGACTTTGTACAACCCTAGTCCCCCCGGTGTCTATATAAACCGGAGGGTTTAGACTTCTAGGGTTTAGGCACAACAATCATAACCTCATATGTTAGACTTCTAGGGTTTAGCCATTACGATCTCGTGGCAGATCAACTCTTATAATACTCATATTCATCAAGATCAATCAAGCAGGAAGTAGGGTATTACCTCCATAGAGAGGGCCCGAACCTAGGTAAACATTGTGTCCCCCGCCTCCTGTTACCATTAGTCTTAGACGCATAGTTCGGAACCCCCTACCCGAGATCCGTCGGTTTTGACATCGACATTGGTGCTTTCATTGAGAGTTCCACTATGTCGTTGAAGACAGGCTTGATGGCTCCATCATTCATCTACAACAATGCAGTCCAGGGGGAAATCTTCCTCCCCGGACAGATCTTCGTATTCGACGGCTTCGCACTGTGGGCCAACTCGTTTAGCCATCTAGAGCAGATCGATAGCTACGCCCCTGGCCATCAAGTCAGAGTTGGAAGCATGAATTTTGTGGCCGATATCCGCGGAGACTTGATCTTTGACGGATTAGAACCCATGAGGGCTGTCCCCGGCCACCACGATGAACATGACCTAGATCTGTCATCTGGCCGTGCACAGGAAATAGCGCATATGACCGCCCTGGCCCTAGAGCCGGAGCGGACTGCGTCGTTTGAAGACGGGAGGCTTAACCCCGCCACAGAGGCCGCAGATTCAGTGGCGCTCGAACCGCACACAGACCCAACATCGAGTTGGGCTCGTGTCACCAGAACCTCGAACTCGTCTCCGGCAATGGGTTCCGGACCGCGTGCATCCGCGTCCATCGAACCTGATTGGGCGCCGGTCTTGGAGTTCAGCTCCGCGGACATCTTCTAGCACTCGCCTTTTAGCGACATGTTAAGCTCATTAAAATTCCTCTCCTTATCAGGAGACTCTCAGCCGAACTATGTTCGGCTCGAGTGGGAAGCGGACAATGAAGAACTTTGTGTCCCACCCACCACCCACTTTATAGACACTGTAGATGACTTAACCGACATGCTTGACTACGACTCCGAAGACATCGACGGTATGGACGACGATGCCAGAGAG